AGTAGTGTTGTAGATGTGTTAGATAATATGACATGATTATTAGTATTAAGGATTGGGTAGCGGAAAAGTGTTTTGTTAAGTCTATTTGTGATTATCTTTGTAAAGATTTTTCTTAAGTATTCTATTAGTGTAATGGGTCTAGTGTGCTCTAAGTGTCCTAAAAAGGTTTGTTTTTTTGATATTAGGTATATATAGCTGTTTTTCTATAGAGCTGGTATTTGTTGTAGCTGCAGACAGACATTGTATATATTGAGTAATATTGTGAGCATGGTGTTGTCTAGGTGCTTTAACATTTCATTAGAAATGGTTTGTGGACCGGTAGCTTTGTTAGTAGATGCTTTTTTTATAACTGTATTAAGTTCTTCTGTTAAGATTATATCTGAGAGATTCTTGTATCAGAAGGTTTGTATTTTAGGTATTGGTTTATACTCTTGTTGTTATATGTTTCAGAGAGCCACATTTGTAGGATTTGACTTAGTTTATACTTTGTAGTGAGTTCGTATATAATTTCTGATCTGGAGAAATTCTGTAATGATATCGGTTGATGTGCATATATTATGAAGGATTACTAGATCTGAGTGTCTTTTCAATATACTATCGATTATCTTAGATGTATTCTTGATAAAGTTGTCATTTCTATTTTGGATATGCTTGTTTATAGTTTATATATGAGCAATGTTATTTTCGAGCTTTCTTGCATAATATATCACTTTTTGTATAGCTTTGAGTTTGTCTATTGTTGTATTAATGTTATCTCCTGCTAAATCCTTGTCTATTATTAGGTTGACTGCTACTTCGCTATGTTTGTTTATTTGTTGGATTTGCAAGTTAATCTGCTATATATCAGGATTTGTGTTGGTCTTGTTACTTAAATTTCTAATTAGTTTGTTAATTGTTTTAAGAATGTAGTGTAGTGTTGTAGCCTTGGTTGAAAAGGCATAGAAGGCTTTGGGTGAAGTTGTAGTAGTTGATATGTATTTTGATGCTAAATGTTTTATTGCTATATAGAATTCATGCTAGTATTTATTGAGGATTTTAAAGTTTGTTATTTGTTGGTTTATAATACCACTTTTGCTGATTTGCTTTGTTGCTATTTGGACGAATTCAGTCCATAGGTTTGTTGTCATTTGATCATATTGGTATACTATTCTTTTTCTTCTTTTCTTTTTAGAATTTTTTATCTTTGAGTTGTATTTCCAATCTATACTAATAATTTTGTGATCACTGTCAGTAATAAGGTCTGCTGCTAAGAGTGTAAAACAAGTAAAGACATGTATAAGGTGGGTAGGTAACTATATATCATTGATTTGGCTTTGCTTGTTTTGTTTAGACCATGTAGGTGAGGTGATGTTGAAGTATTTTAGTGAACTGATGAGCCCAGTTGTTTGCATTGTCTGGAAGACAGGAATGCTTTTGGTGTATTTACTGCAATCATAGTTGAAGTCTCCTAATATTATAGTGTGGTAGTTGTTTTTAGTGGCTTGCTTAATCTATTGTATAACCATTTGTTGTGTTTTTCCAAGTTGAGGTCTTTGTTATTGGGTAGTAAGCATACTGATATAATCTGAGTTCTGTTATAATTAGGGAAAAATAAATCAATTGCAATAGCAGTACCAGGTTGTGTAAGAATATTGTAAATGTATAGTTGGAGTGGTTTTATAATGGCTATTGCTGTACCCATGCTTGCTTCCTAAGTTTTTTCTATTAAAATATTACAGTTTGCAATATATATATAGTAATAAGGATTACTGGTTTGTAGATTAGTGTATGTAGATTTGGGTAGCTTTGTTTCGGTCATACTTATTATGTAGAACTGGTATGTATTGCAGAATTCAAGCCATATTTGTGTTTTGAGCCTTGTATTTAACCCTTATATATTGTGTATAGTAATTGTAATTTTGTTATATATAAGAGAAGCAGCATTGTATTTGTAATCTGTTATATTTTTTTTAGTAGATGTGTCTGTTATGGTGAAGTTAGTTTGAAGTGATGTTGCTTGGTAAGAAGGTTCAGTATTATTTGATAAGATCATATTATTAGGAAAGATTCCTTAGGTTGGTTCTGAGAGGAACAGAAGTACTAGAATAGAGTTGGGTATAGTTTGACTGTAAAATATTGATGTAATATTTTGAGAGTTTCAGAAGCAGCCTTTTGGTTTGTGATAGGGAGTGTTAATTGTGTTGTATCAATATCATTATTTTTTAAATAATTAAGGATTTTGTCTAACTCATTTGGTATTATTGGTTTTGTGATAGGATGTCTGTCAAGTTGATCTCTTCTATAGTATTGGTTTAGATTTTTATTTAGGAGTTAGGAGTATGGTAGAAATAATAGAACTCTCTCAGTAGTTTGGCTACTTCAGTTAGAGTCTTTGTTGAAGTGATGGGTGTAAAATACTGTAGTCTGTAATTTGGTCTGGATCTTTAGGAAGGTCAGGCTTCTCAGTAGGATTGGCTGTCATTATTTCTAAAGATAGTGACAAGTTGACTTTGTGTTCTGGCCAATGTCCAGAATGAACTCCATAGCATCCTGCTTGTCTTCAATTAGAAATATATATGTCTTTATAGTTTTAATCTTGTTTGGGTCCTTAGGAAAGTGAAATTTTGCTTGGTAGTAGTCATTAGGTAAGTTTTTGAAAGTGTATTTTTCTCGTAATGCTTCAATAATTCTTTGAGAGTTACCATGACAGTCATTCGGGTTAAGTGGGAATTAGTTTCTATGTTTAGAGCTGAGGTCTTGGTATGCAGAGGCAGGCAAATTTTTGGTGGTGGCAGATTAAAGTAGTTAGGTAGGATCGTTTTGACTTCATAGTATTGGCTAAGTTTTCTTTTATAATTGCCTAGGTCTCAAAGGCATTTTCTATCAGTAATTGGAAATAGGATAGAAATTAGCTAGATTTGTTAGAAGAGATTCAGGTTTGTGAAGTATTTTTCAGGTAAATTGGTAAATACAATGAAGTGCTATGACTATTGCTTTGGTGTGAGCTTTGTTTTTTATAGGTAGAGTGAAAGGTAATATTTAATGTATATTTTCAGAAATATCATCTGGGTGACTAGGTAATTGTTGAAGCTTGCCTGAGAGGGCTTCCTAGACTGCCTTTTGAATTTTCTCATATTTATTTAGTTCTGTGTCTTTTGTAAAACCTTTGTAATATTTAATAAGTTGTGTTATGTATCTAGGAGAACAAATATTGAAGTTTGTGTTTGTTATATAGTCAAGAAATAGTTTTTCGTAATTTCTAGTGAATAATATCGCTTGTTTCTCTGTTAGTTATTGTGATCTGATTGGCTTTTTTATAATTTTGTAAGGCATTATAAAACATCTCTTCATATTCAGTTTGATGTTGTGAAGTGAAGCGCTTGGCTCTAATAAAGATTAGGAAGAATGTTTTGTCAAGGTGTTTGAATTTGGCAAGAATATCTGGAGGAATTTGTTTTTGAGTAGGTTTAGTGACTATTTTGTATTTGATGAATTTCTGTAAACTATTGCTGAATTGAAAACTAGTAATGAGTTTATCATAGTGCCATGTGTTGTTATCGAAGGGCTGTGTAATTTTTTTTGTTAGTTCTTTGTATATGTGTTCTAGCTATTTTTGGGTTGGATCCTCATTTATTTGCATTGTGTTGTTAATCAGATTTTGTTTGGTTATTTGACTGTATGAATATGTATTAAAACTTTTTTGATGTGCAGATATAGTTGAGGCTGTGTTAGTTTCTATTTTGTTGTTAGTTTGTGTATTTTCTAATTTGGTAATAGGAGTGGTCATTTCACTATCTACAAGATTTTCCTGTTGAGTAATATTTAGATTGGGCTGAGTAGGATCTGCTGCAGGTCCTGTGTTGTGTATTGATGTTGCTATATTGTTGTTGTTGGTCAGGGTCTGAGAGTAACATCATTGTTGAGGTGAGGTGTATTGCTTAATATAGTAATATTGGAGTTGTTGTTGTGGAAAATAATCGTTATATTGTTGTTTTTTTCTAGAAACTCTGTTTGGATGTTGTTAAAATTTGTTTGAATGAGTTGGTTGTTGTTGTTGTTGTTGTAATGTGATGATGTTATGTTGGTTTTTGGAAGGGGTAAGCTGGATTGCCCACTTTTGGTGTTTGAAGGTGGTCTTGGAAGAAGAGTGTATCGTCTCTTTGCACTTGTGTTAATATAGGTGAAGTCTAGTTTGGCTACAGCAGTCTTTTTGCCTTTGTTGTTTCAGTTGCTACTATTGTGTTCGCTTATTTGAAGTTGAGGTTGGATAGTAAGAGTAAATAGGACAAAATGGCCTATTGGCTTGGTGTTTTCTTTGTTGTTGGTTGAATAGTTCTTGCTGCTCTGCTTTCTCTTGATTTTGTTTATTTAAAGGTGTGGACTAGTGGTGTGTGGGTGTTGTTTCGTCTTCTAGACTTATGTGTTTAATTATTTATTTACTTGCTTTTTAGAATTTTTGTTGTATCAGTTTTTATTTTTTATTAAAATTGGGATCTATGAGAAAAAATCAGTCTGTAATAATCGATAATTATATAAATAAAATTAATAAAGAAATATAAATTCTAATCTAATAAATTAAATAATAAAAGTTGTATCCAATTTTTTAAAACTCTTTCCTGTAGATCCTAATTTTATAAGTAAAATAAAAACAGCACAAAAACTAAAGTTTAGAAATCAAGTCCGACTTTACTATAACTAAATAATTATTATAAACACTAATATAGTTATAGACAAAGACTATCAAAGATTAAATGGGACAGAGAAACAGCTTTCTGCACTCTAGTCTCTTTCTTAACCCTGTTGCCAACTGAGTCAGCAACTAACAAAAACAACAACAAAAATAACAGAAAGTGTGCTATAGGTACTCAAAAAAAGAAAACTCGACTTACACACATCTACACAGGAAACTACAGCTCAATGGAAGAACAAAATAAGAAAAAAAAGCATAAAACTGTAGATAATATTTCTGCCTCTACACCACCAACTACAGATAGCAATATGGTCAAAGAAAAAATTGGGGAATTGGCAAATTCCAGCTTACCCCCGAATCTGACTGAGATAACATCATCACACAAAACAACAACAAACCCGATTCAGAACCCGGAACAACCTACAATATACAACTTTCCCACAGATAAACAAAATAAGAAGATCCCGGCCCAAGCACCTTCCGAATCTGGCATGACCCCTTTGCAGCAGAACACAATGGAAAAGTAAACAACCTGGTCTCATCTGAATCTGAATCTAGACCCAATCAGTCTACAAACAGCCTACCTGATATGGAAATAGACCAGAATGTAATAGACTTAGATAGTGGAGACAATGAAGAAACTCGGTCGATCGATACAATATTAGATGAAAAGCTACAAACAAAAATATTATACAGCCAAGCAGTTAGCAAAGATCTTCCAAACCAAAACAGAAAAATCCCAAATAGGTACTTTACTAATGACAAAGAAAAAGAATGGCGAGAATGTACACAAAAAGCCTTAAAAGAAATCAGACAA